GATGATGGCTCAAGTATTGGCCATCCTCAGTGTTTACTCAGAGCACCTGTCCCTGCTCTCACCAAGAGAGCTGTCTTCTACACGACCCATTTCTATTTTGTCCTCCTCTCCTATGAGAATTCTCCCATACTCTACCCCCGAAAGGAGCAAATGTCTCAAATTCACTATTGTTAGACCTGATCATAGTATGTACTTTAATTAATAAATATGTGTGATGCGACACTTGCTATGTTCAAGTGCAGCTTTAAAAATAATTATGTGGTTCAGCCTGGCCCTTTCAGTTTTGGGCAAGAAAACAGGTAGGTTGCTCCATTGCAGAAACTCCTTTAGCCTAGCTCACTGAGTGAGAAGACAGGCAGGACAGACCTGCAGTTGAATGCCAGAAGCAGAAAAAACAGCCCTGGCACAGCCCTTATGTTACAGAACCAAAAAAAGAAAGGTTACTATCAGAAATCATTAAAAGTCGAATATGTTAGTTTTTCAGTTATTTATTTATTTATTTGAAAGGCAGAGTTACAGAGAAATGGAATCAACAAAAAAGAGAGAGTGAGATATTCCATTTGCTCTGGTATTTCCCAAATGACCCTAGTACCTGAGCCGAGGCCATGCTGAAATCATAAGGCAGATATTCCATGTGGGTCCATCACATGAGTAACAGGGAAACTCCTGGGACAATCGTTCACTGTTTCACAGTGTTTATCAACAAGCTTGATCAGAAATGGAGTATCTGGGATTCAAACCACAGACTCATATACAGGAGAGAGAGAGAGAGAAACAGAAAGAGCTTTCCATGTGTTGGTTTATTCTCCAAATGCCCACAACAGCCAGGGGCAGATCAAACTGAAGCCAGGGACCTAGAATTCCATCCTATCTTGTACATGGGTAGCTGGTACATATGCTGTTACATGACACATTCCAGGACATACACTGGCAGAAGCCTGGAACATAAGCAGAGGCAGAACTGGTTTTCCAACACAGGGTACAGATATCTCCCGTTGCAGTCCAACCCACTGCACCACAACTCCTACCACTAGATTCAGATCATAAGGCTAATCTTTATTTTCTATAGATCAAATCTATTTGGCAGAAATATGTGTAACATATGTGGTGATTATGCATACGTGTACAAAGTAATGAGACACTCTACATTCTGTTCTTACTAAGGCTTTGAAATCTAATGTTTGATTCACTTTTAGGCTTTTTGGCTAAGATCAAGGGAAATCTAATGTTAAACTTACAGTTGTTACTAAAGGACTACACTACTGTGACAAAACGGGGGAAGGGCAGGAGGGAGAAAATGAGGAGAGGGAAAGGGAAGGGGAGGAAAGAATCCCTATATCTACACACTGTCATGGAAAATAATAATAAAAGCTGATAACCCCATGTTTCACATAATTATCATGTTGAACAGTGCAGATGTAGGCCCAAAATAATATACTGGCAGACGGATTGATTATGGCTCACCAAATGCTCTGCTTCAGATAGGTCTATTGATTTTTTTGTGTGATTAATTTTTTGTATGTTCAATTATCCCATTAACTTTATACATAATAAAATATATACATCCATGTGTGTATTTACATATTATACATACATACATGAATACATATGTATGTGTATACACACATACACACACACATATATATAAAACTGCTCCACATTTCTGCTCAGCTTCTACTCTCAGTTCTCCATGGAATGCTCTTAGATTGTTTTGTTAATAGCATTGTCTGTTTTCTTCAAAGTCCCATATTCCATATTATATAATTTGTACACTAAAACTAAAAACACAAACAAACAACAAACAAACAAAAAATCTAGAATAGATAGACGAGAACAATAAGGAAAGCTTAGAATCAGACAGGAATGGTCAGCATGGATTCACTTCTACCTCACTAAGTGGGACACAAAGATTAGTTACTCCTCACTAGGGTATTGAAGATTTCTCTGCATACCCCTCCTAAAACTGTCCTGCACCTAAACTGTTGACATACTTTTGTTAGAGTTATAAGTCAGTCTAGACCACCTGAAAAACAGCCAGTTTCAGCAAAATTATGCTTCAACGCTATACAAGTGCTAAATACTATAATGAAAATAGACACGACACAGCTGAACAGTAATGCAGAGCCATTTTAAGGTGTATAGAACCCAGTTGTATATAAACTAAAATTGAAATGTCAATGAAAAAGTCACAGGATGTGGTTGAGAACTTGATTTTTTTTAACATATTGGTTACTCAATACTATGTCAATTAATTACATAATATTATAAATTGTTGTTGATGTTATGTTGGGGCTTTTAATTGATCAGGATGATACTTTGCCGGCCCTATCTTCAGACCAGAGATGGTCTCCCCAAGAAGCCATTGAACTTACCTGGACAATAAGATACTGGACTCTATGCTTAGTATATGCTTGCAATGAAAGAATCTCAACTGAACTTGAACTGTGGTAATGCAACAAGGTGGAAGAATCCACCATGGGGGAAGGGCTTGTGGAGGGGTAGGGGAACTCCTTGTGCCTATAAAACTGTGTCACATAATGCAATGTAATTAATAAAAAAAAACCCTAAAAACAAGCAAATCATGCAAAACATGAGTGCCTATTTAATGCTATTTGTTAATGCATTTGAAGGACAGGGTGGCAGAGGAAGGAGACGGAATCGAGGGATGGAAACTGTCATCTAACACCGCACTTCTCAGTGGCCTGACTGAAGCTAGCAAGCTAGAACCTCATCTAGGTCTGCCAGATGTGTAGCACAGGCAGAAGGGCTTGGGTCATATTTTACTACTTTCTCATATGCATTATCATAGAGCTGTATCCGAGTGGAGCAGCTGGAACCGTAGTTTGTACTCTACTATAGAATACAGCTACACTTGCTGTCCCACCTCACTGGCCCACAGCTCTACTATTTAGACATGTAAATTCAACTGATCAAATAAAAGGTGAAAAACCAAAACATCAATACAAAACAATGAATATATTTTATAACTACTATAAGCAGACAATGTAGATATATGTTCATTAAATATTTCCTCGGAACATTATTTGAGCAAATATTCCAAAGAGATCTTCATGCTTAAAAAGACTTTGCACACTTACAGTTGGGCAAGTTATTGTTAAAACAGCCTTCTCTGAATCTTTACTTTGACAATGTGCTGAGCTGTTCTTCAAGATCAGGACACAGAATACAGCCATTCTAACTCAGCATTGGCGCAAAATTGTTGGGGGCATTTTATGTGATGGTCATTATAATCTTTATTTAGGAAATTGCTGGCTTAGAAGAGAAAACAATTACCAAGTCAAATCTTATGGAGAGACGTGGAAATAAGAATGCTCCCAAACATCAAGATGATACTTGGGGAGAACTAGGAAGAAGAAATGGACGTGTTTGGGTGTCAATATCAAAAAGTTTCCTGTGGTGGCTATTTGCTGTTTTATCTGCAGATTCCTTGAGCATCCAAGGCACATTCTGTTTCTTTGCTCTTGATATTTTCTCAGCATGATTTCCACTTTTTCCTCCCACAAAAACTTACTGTGTAGCATAAGATCCAAACAAAGATAGGATAGATATCATCAAGCAGGAATTACATGGTCTATTTGTTTATAAATACTTATATTTCAAAATAGCTTTAATTTATAGAAAAGTTGCAATGATAATACAGTTCTTAACCCAATCAAAAATATCCTATTATTAATATCTTAAAGTAGTAGAGAGCATTTGTTACAATTAATGAACCAATATTAAAACATGATGGCATATTAATGAATCACAAAAGTCCGTGAATTATTCAGATTCATGAGTTTTTATTTTCAACCTCCCTTTTAGGACTCCATATTATCTTCACTTTTCATGTCTTTTATGTTCTCTGGGCCATAAACCATGAAACCTCTTTGCTGTAACTAAGTTTCATTATAGAAAAATAAAGCTAGAGATTCTCTCTAACTATAACAAGTAATAAGTAACATTGAGTAGTGTAGTAGAGGGTGCTGTCCAGACCAAATCTTAATATGGTTTTTGATAACATCTAGAAGAGCAGCCACACCACCCCAACATAATTATAGGAAGTAGAGTGGCTCTTGTTTTTACTTTAACCCTGTAACTTTCTTTTAATTGTTAATAACATTGTATTATGTGATACAGTTTTATAGGCACTGGGCTTTCCCCCAGCCCTCCCACAACCCTACCCCCATGGTGGATTCCTCCACCTTGCTGCATAATCACAGTTGAAGTTCAATTGGGATTCATTCATTGCAAGCATATACCTAGCATAGAGTCCAGCATCTTATTGTCCAGATAAGTTCAGCGGTTTCTAGGGGAGACCTTCTCTGGTCTGAAGGTAGAGCTAACAGAGTAAAGTCCCGGTTAGTTAAAAGCCCCTACAAAACATCAGCAACAATTTACAATGTTATGAAATTGGTTGACATAGTATTGAGTAAACAATATGTTAAAAGTAATGCAAGTTCAATTTTTCACAACACATGGGTTGAGACAGTATCAATGACAGGTTCAAAAACAAATAAACCAACAAACAAATAAAATTACTGTAACCCTGTATCTTAAGATCTCTCCTAAGACTAACAGGTTAAACTGGTACTCATGAGGCTCTTTGTCTAAAAGAAGCAAAGCAAAACAAAGAATAGGAGAAAGTTGAAAACTTTATAAGGAAAGGAGGAAACAAAACAAAACAAAGAATAAAGTTATTCTTAGAGGACATACCAGAACAAAGGGAAGAATGAGTGTATTAAAAGAAGAAAGAGAAAGAGGTGTTAGAATGAAGTGTGTTGAGCTCTGAATCAGATAATATAATTTACTCTGACTGGTCAAGTTGAAATATTTGTGAAGTAACAACCAGGTGCATTTCATAGCAAGACTAGAAAACAATGATCTGTTCCATCTGATGTGAAGACTGTTAAGCTTACTCTTCAGTACCAGTCTTACTTTTTAAAGTGCCCTTGATTTAGAAATTTTAAGGCTAGCTTCAGCTTCCTCCTTGCAACTATTTATGCTTGCTCAGAGAACAAATTCATGGTTGCTGAACTGTTTCTTAAAACTTGACCACTCAAAATAATTTTTATAGCTTTTTTAAACCATGGGTAAAATAAAGCATAAATCAAAGGATTCATGGCTGAGTTATAATAAGCACACCAAACACAGATCTCATAAATATAGGCAGGGGTTATGAAGCCCATAAAGGCATCAACTAACGAATCAATACTATAGGGTAACCATGAAATCATAAATGCTACCACAGTGATGCCCAAGATTTTAGCTGCTTTTCTCTCTCGCTTGGCCACTCTGGCTTTGTAGCTTTCTGAAGATGATTCTGTTTTGCTGCCAATATTTTCAATTTTTTGAGCTTGCTGTCTAGCCACCAGAAAAATATTACCATAGAGAATAATCATCACTAAGGTAGGTATAAAGAAGGACAGAAAATCTATCAACACCCAGTTCTGATTTACAACTGTCTGACAACCTCCTATACAGTTAACAGCATTGGATAACTCCTCCAGCCCATCGTCATAGACACCAGTGTAAAATACAGCTCCACTGTACACCAGGGGCAGGATCCAGGAGATGCTGATGCAAATTCCTGACACAGACACCGTGAACTTGGTGGGATACACTAGAGGGTCTGTGACCGCAATGTACCTGTCGATGGAGATGAAGCACAGGTGGAACAGAGAAGAATAGCAAAAGGCCACATCACAGCACGTGTGGAAAGTGCAGAAACTTCTCCCAAAATACCAGCAGCTCTCCACGGACCTGACCATGCTGAAGGGCATCACGGTCACCCCCACCAGAAAGTCGGCACAGGCCAGAGAGGCGATGAGGAAGTTGGTGGGGGAGTGCAGCTGTCGGAAGTGGAGGATTGAAATCATCACCAGGAGGTTCCCGAACACAGCCAGCAGGGACCCAAAGCCGAACACCGTGTAGAGGAGCACCCGTGAAGCCAAGGAGTAGGGAGCTTTCACGCATGACCCGTTCAGGTTCTCGAAGCAGAACTCTTCAGTTGTGGGTAGGGACGAGTTGCTCATGTTCCTGCTGATTATACTTGAAGTGCTTGTGTTTTTCTTCAAATTTATTATTGTTTGTTTTTCAGTGTATAATCTTAAATGTCACTACTCCTGGTTAGGAGGAAGTGATTCACATATTCCAAATGTTTTCTGTAACAAAATAAAATGCAACTAGGTTTTCCACCATTGCAAATACCTATAATTCCATGATAAACGTAAATAACTGAATGTAAGCTTCTGACTGTTGCTGAAGAACTAGTGTGTGTGAGGGAAATAGGGAGGGATGAAGAGGAGGTCAAGAGACGAATCCCTATTTCTACAAAACCGTGCTGCAGAAGACAGTAATAAGAAAATATGACCACTGAGAACAGAGGGACAAAAATAAATAAAACCACCAAAATTATATTCTGTAAATATGCAAGTATGCTGGGGATAGATTTCAACCCACCAATGATTTATTGCCTTACCTTCATAAATTTTTCTTTTAGTCATAAATATTATTTAATCTTCCTGTTATATGTATATATCATCTGTCTGGCATTGCTATCCCAAGATGTGAGCCTTCCTACTAAATAAGTGTCATGAAATGGGAAAAGAAATCCCTCGACAGAATCCCTGCAGTGCAAAGTGTGAATTAGTAAGATTATTTTCAGCAGTGATTATTGGGCAAATTATTCCATTAAATCTTCACTCTACTATAATGCTTTTATGTTTGAAGATTTTTTTCTTTTTTCTTAAAGATTTATTCATTTTTCATTGGTAAGTCAGATATACAGAGAGGAGGAGAGATAGAGAAAGTTCTTCAATCTGCTGATTCACTCCCCAAGCGGCTGCAATGGCCAGAACTGAGCTGATCTAAAGCCAGGAACCAGGAGGTTCCTCCAGGTCTTCCACTTGGATGCAGGGTACCAAGGCCTTGGGCTGTCCTTGACTGCTTTCCCAGGCCACAGGCAGGGAGCGGGAAGGGAGCCAGGGCCACTGGGATTAGAACTGGCACCCATACGAGGATCCCGGTGTGTACAAGATGAGGGCTTTAGCCACTAGGCTGCCACACTGGTCCCAAAGATATTTTTTCTTCAAAAAAAAAAGTTGTTCTATTTCCCCTTTTCATAATCATGATTTGCTTCTTCAATGCTTTTTATTTCAGATATGAGGACACTTCAAAAAGTTCATAAGAAAATGACAATAAAAAGATTGGTGTAGGAGTTTTTCATACTGTTTAAGAAGGGACTTGGGGACCTGGCGTGATAGTGTAGTGGTTAAGGTCCTCACATTGCATGCGCCAGGATCCCATATGGGTACGTGGCCCCACTTCCCATCCAGCTCCCTGCTTGTGGCCTGGGAAAGCAGTCAAGGATGGTCCAAGGCCTTGGGACCCTGCACCCAAGTGGGAGACCTGGAGGAACCTCCTGGTTCCTGGCTTCGGATTGGCACAGTATCGGCCATTGCGGTCACTTGGGAAGCGAATCATCGGACGGAAGATCTTCCTCTCTGTCTCTCCTCTTCTCTGTATATCTGCCTTTCCAATAAAAATAAATAAATCTGTTAAAAAAAAAAAAGAGAGAAAGAAAGAAAGCACTTGGGACACCTGTGTCTCATATCAGACTACTCAAGTTCAAGTCCACCTTCTTGCTGTCAAGCAGCCTGCGAGGTAGCAGGCAATGATTTAAGGAGGTAGGTCACTGCCACTTCCATGGGAGACCCAAATTTATATCCGGTTTCACTGCAGTTCAGCCATGGCTGTTGAAAGTATTTGGGTAGTAATTCAGTGCTTGAGTGATCTCTCTCCTTCTATTTCATGTGGTGTGTTGTGTGTGTGTGTGTGTGTATTAGGGGAGGGTGGGAGTGTACATTTTCAAACCAATAAATAGATTTAATTGAAGCAGAAATAGGTCCCATGGGAGCAGATTCTTTGGCAACATTCTCATGCCTAGAATGGGAGAATAATGCAGTTTAAGAACATTATTCCATTTTCCTGGAAAATGGAACAAGTCTCTTCCTAGTGAGAGACTGGCCTTACAATGCTTGTGCTTTTTGAATTATCAGTGCTTTTTGAATACTTGTGCTTTTTGAGCTATAAGAAGTGATGCTATTATCATTAATCTACCTGGCCATCTGATTTTTAATCAGTGTCATCTACTTGTTTAGATACAATCCTGTGCCCGGTGTCTCAATTTAAGCATTATTGACATTTGAGTTTTGATCACTATTTGATATAGAAAATTGTCCATACAGTCTATGGTGTCTGACAGCATTCCTGCTGTTACATGTCAATAAGAGCTTTCAATTGAGAGAACCAACCATGTCTCCAGATATTGGCAAATGTTCTCTGGGGACAAAATCCAGTCCTCCTTTAACATCTTAAAACCATTCTTCCAGGTGATAAAAATTATGATGTGATGACTTTTGCCTTTTTGAGTAGATAAACAGCTTTGTAGCACCCTCTGTGGCTTAGAGGTTTAGTTATTGATTATTCCAGCTATTTACAACATACTATTGAATGTCTATACCTGAGTATAAATCTTCATGAAGCATGCACATTTTAAAAATTATGTATTGGAAAGGTAAAATTACAGAGAGAGAGAGAGAGAGAGAGAGAGAGAGCGCATAAGAGGCAGAGATCATCTTTCTGCTGGCTCACTCCCCAAATGGCTCCAAAAGCAGCTTTGAGCCAGGCTGAATCAGGGTGTCTGGAGCTTCTTCAAGGTCTCCCATTTGGGTGCACAGGTACAAGGAGTTAGACCATCTTCCACTGCTTTCCCAGGAACAATACTAGGGAGCTGGATTATAAACCCAGAAGCTGGGTTTGCAACTATGCCCAGCATGCTACAGTGCCCATCCTGAAGCTTGCAATCTTAAGAGGGAAATGATTTGTTATTAAATAAAAGTGTCACAGGAGTTGTACTTGTGTGCAACAGGTTAAATCACAGCATGTGACATCAGCATCCCACATCAGAATATGGGTTCGAATCTATCCTACTCTATTGCTGATAACAGCTTCTGCTAACGCACCTAAGAAAGTACTATACAATGGTCCATGAGCACGGGGTCATGCCACCTATGTGGAAGACCAAGATGGCATTTCTGGGCACTGGTTTCTGTTTGGCCTAACCCTGGTTGTGGCAGGCATTTGAAAGGTAAACTAACAGATCTTTTCTCCTCTTTCGCTCTTTTTCCCTCTGTTACTCTGCCTTACCTAATAAATAAATAAATAAATTTTTAACATTTTTTCCTATCTATTTGAGAGGTGGAGAAGGAGAACAAGTGGGGAGAGGAGAACGAGTGGGCGATCTCTCCTTCACTACTTCACTCCACAAATGTTCACAATAAGCAGAACTGGACTGAAGGCAGAAGCAAAGAATTCAAACCAGGTCTCCCACTTTGAGGGTAGGAACTCAATGACTTAAGCCATCACCACTGGCTCCCAGGGTCAACATTAGCAGACAGTTGGAATCCAGTGCTGAAGGTGGACTTGAACCCGAATGCTCTAATACGGTGTGCGGATGTTCAAACTGGCAACTTAACCACTTAAGCCTAATGCTCATCCTCAGGAAATAATTTATAAGCAATTAAATATAGAGATTGACTCTGGAACACAAGCACTTGATAAGTACTGCAAAGATGAGAGACAGCTTGCAAATGCAGATTAAAAAGAGCCCTTACAATAGTTAGATGAAAATGCTGGATCAATATTTTTAGCACTTCAACTCTTGCACTTCCTAAGCTATACTATATACATTAGTTATTAGGATCAAGGTTAATTTATACTTTCATGTTTGGGCTTTGTCAATAAATAAAGCCCAGAGCTGAGATGAGATGTTAACCTAAAGTGGTTTCCAAGGACTTTAAAATCTTAGTACATAAATGACACTCTGCTTTTTCTCATATGACCATCTCCACTAAGTAGATTTGTGTAACTTATGATCAAGATTGAGAAATCATGTTTCTCATGGGCTTATGATTCTATCACTCAGGACAGCATTGGGAGACCAACTTTTGATTATCTTGCATCAGCCAAAGTTTTCAGGCTTATATCTAAACTTGACTCTAATTTGCAAGTTGTAAACTCTTGAAATTCATTTTAAATTAAGTCCACTAAGTAAATCATCACTCCCATGAGAGAGTGTGAAACATCCCTCATTAATACCGAGGAAAGAAAATGATGTGATAATGATGCCCCAAGGCCATTGCAGTGTCCACACTCAGAAGTTTGTTAATGAGACGAAGGGAAGAGAACTGTTTTATACCCCTGTCACTTTGGATTAGAGATTAGAGCAATCAGGCACACAGCACGGTCAAAGTGTTAAACTGCATGAAGAGCAATGATCACTGATTAGATGTAGTCAATTTGTTTAAGTAATGATGTAAGCAATTCTAAAAATTATCAGGGTAAGAAACAACAAAAATGACTTCTGGCCCAGTGACAGCTTTCAAGTCTATTCTATTCTATCTTATTCCTTTCATCCCTTTATCACATCTTAGACAGGAATCATACCTGCCTCGTCAATTGCAGTGTTAAGACTTTCAATTTTAGGGAACTCAATTTTAAAACTTCTGTCCATATGTACTTGATTATTCCTGAGCTCCCTGCCAGAGTAAAGAGGTACAAACAAAAATCATTTTGGGGAGAAATAATGTCTGCTTTTTATTCCACACCCATCCTCCATTTCTGCTTCCATTTCATACAGAGAAAAAAAGAGTAGAAACAGGGAAACAAAATATTTTGATCTTGTGGGCCAGCATTGTGGCACAGCGAATAAAGACACAGCATGCAATGCTGGCATACCAAATAGGTGCCAGTAGTGTTCAAGCTACTCCCTGCCAGTGGCCTGGAAAAACAAGAGAAAGATGATGCAAGCATTTGGTCCCTGCATCACGTGGGAGACCCAGAAGAGACTTTTGTCTGGCTTTGGTGTGGCCCGTTCTGGCCATTGTGGACATCTGGGGAGTGAACAAGTAAATGGAAAATACTTGTCTCCTTCTCTATGTCTCTCCCTTTCTCTCAGTAACTCTGACTTTTAAAAATATGGAAA